CAATATGAAATATATTAAAACTGTTATTACCTTAGTACTAAATCGCACTAGTCCATAACAAATAAATAATTCAATTTTATTTAACTAAACAGTATATTAAGTTGAACTAAATCTTTGTAATAGCAACTAAATCGTGTACTTTCGAAATAAGGTATTTTAAGTGTTTTTATTACTTTAGTGTCTAGTGTTTTGGTATATAAGAAATAATTTATTTATATTAAATTCCATTCGTAATAAACCAACATTTTCTCATGTATTCAACTAAACAGTTTATTAAATAGGACTAAATCTTAGTTGTAGCTATTAAACCGTTTATTTTCAATATGAAATATATTAAAACTGTTATTACCTTAGTAGTAAATCGCACTAGTCCATAACAAATAAGTAATTAAATTTTATTTAACTAAACAGTTTATTAAGTTGAACTAAATCTTTGTTATAACTATAAAACTATTTATTTTCGAAATAGGCATATTAAGAGCTTTTATTTATTGCTTTAAATTGCACCATTTGTTAACAAGTAATTTATGTATAGTAAATAAATGATTTTATTGCGATAAATTAACATTTTGTTACCTTTAATCAACTAAACCGTTTACTAAATAAAACTAATTCTCTGTTATAGTAATCAAACCGTCTTTTAACTTATTTAACCAATACCGATAAGCGAAAATTAACATAAGAAACCGATTAGGTACCCTACCGGGTACCTCATAAGAGCTTTTTTGCACAATCCTTCCAACTCCAAGCGAAACCTCCGGTTTAATGGGCGTTGCGAAATGTTTAATATGTCAATTACTAAATGGCGAGCCCATGGTGGTATGTCGTAACCGGCGCATATTGCTAAAAATTAATAACAGCCATTGTGTTTTCGGTATTTCGTTTGGGCAGTTAAATCAAGTGAAAGTGGCGTGTGTGCATACGAATTCTGTGCCAATGCCAAACGTTAAAAATCGATATCAGAATGTGCGATCCGATATACTGGCCGGATTCCAAATTTAAAATAAATTAGCGTCGAGAAAACAAGAATTAAGGTTCGTCCAATAAACTAAGTACATATACGAGTGTAGACAATAATTTGTAGAACCGTGAATTATTTTTTTATTATTACTTTGCTTTAACTTTTTTCAGTTAAACGGCTTTTTGACGCTTATTGATTGCGACAAAGTACAATTACGCGACAAAATCTTCAAATTTGCCGTTACCCTCGTATAATAAATATTCCAAACTGTTTTCTCGAAGCGAAGCGTTTTTAATTCCTTGCCGAGAGATAGACTTCCGCTTTTTAACGTCTCGTTATAATATCCGGAAGTTTGCGCCAACGCCAACGCAGCATTGTGTACACACCGAATGAATTTCCTTCATTTTTATGCAAGATAATATCACGGCGGTTAAGACAGAGGAAATGTGTTTTCCGTAAAAAAAAAACATTTCGATTAAATCCTCACCAATTCACTAATTTATTTATTACGCAAGGAATTGAAGAATTGATTTATTACGACTTGAAGCGAAATCGAAATGTATTCTCGCTCTGTCCTCAATACCTCATTACGTGCATGCCACTGCTGTATTTTGTTCCTTGATATCCTATAATTAATTGATATTTTACAAGTTTTCCTTCGAATTACAACATTATATTTTCACTTTAAAGCTCAGATTTACCAAAAACGTTTGCGTAAGACTTTCCCCTTCTAGTCGACGTATTTTACAAAGGGGTTTGTGGAATTTTTCGCCGGTATCAGCGTTCGAAGTGATGTGGAGACCCGCGAATGAATAACGGAAGTTTTTCTGATATCATCGATAAAAACGTGTCAACGACACTTTGCGCAACGCTCAGAGAACTTGGTCAGATCTTATTCGGTCCCGTTTCCGATAAACTTATTGACATGTGCAGGCGCAGTTGCATAAAAACCGACGTCGACCTGGTTTGGTTATTTTTTTTATAGGCCGGCCCGCCGCAAGTAAAAAAAAAACACGACAATTGGGTTAGGCAAATAAATAATCGGTGGAATCGATGATAAGATGGACGTATATGGTACACACGAGCGACGGTACAGGTAATTATGTAATTGTATGTGCGCATACAGGGTGAATCGAATTGGGTAGAGCAAAACTGATCCATATACGGCTGTGGACCAGTACACGGTTGCCAACCTAAACGTTTTATGTTTTTTTATGAATCAGTTTTTATATTTTTAAATACATAGGAAATCTTTCGACATTGTGGAGGACCAAATAAGCGTTAAGGTGCGTCTACACTGTTCCAGCAACCTGAGCAACACAGCGAATACTAGATTTCACGCATGTACTTACAACTATCTCGAAACATCTTATCGAGTCAATATTACGTCAAAGGAAGTATTATACCTCGTACTCAAACTGGTGTATGAGTCTCCAATTAAGAAGAATCTTAAATTTCCTTAATTGAAACGCAATTTTCTAGAAATTTTTAATTACCAGACTTACGGAAAAAAGCATCCAGTCTAATTGCAAATCACACACGTAAAAAAAGGAGGTGTGTATACATAGAGCGTAAGTGGCTCCATCTATCGCGCTACTTCCCACCTACGCCATTCTGTGATCTGCTACAATTTTCTTTCAAGAAAACATAAGTTTGATTATAATATGCTACTTTTGTCTTGAATAATCCCTACATTAATATTAAACTTTAAATATAGGTATATATATTTTAAGGAACTGATAGTTTTGAAACAAATATTGCAGATTATGATGAACTGTAAGAGATATTGTAGGTAAAGTCAAAACTATAAAAGATTTGAATTAAATTATATATATTCACAAATAATATAAATTCTAAGAAAAATTAAAAGATTACAGCAAGTATTTCACATAGTTTGACGAAAGTAGATACATTTGAATAGAATAAAATAACATTTACGGCAAATAATTCCATTTAAAAAAAACTGCTCATTTGATCCAAATACTTTGTTTTTGTGTAGAGAGCATTATTTCCACCGTACTGAAATCTACCTTCAATATATGTATTTGACATTCAACACCGACTTTTTGTCGCTTTCATTCTCTTGCTTCCGTTTTGCAATAATAAATAATGCCCTAATACCCGACAATAACATTTCGTGATCATCCACGTGACGTAACGCAGGATCACGAGCAATGTGGACGCGCCTTTACACTCAACGCCGTGTCGTACACACACACACACACACACACACACACACACGATACAGCGTACCGCACCGGTATTCATTTTTTTTCCAGCGCCTGACGGCCTTAACCTAGATAGGAATCAACTTTGAGCAAGCTCACTTACATAACGCCCGGTTTGAAATACCAACTTCCTTTAAAAGGTACACTTTTTTTTGACCTCATTACAAAATTTATGTGTACGCTCGTCAAAACGGTGCTGCCGCTCGGAGGCTGTTCCACATTTCGCTCTACTCTCGATTTCTCGCCGAAAGAAAACGCCATCAATCAAAGTTTTTTTTTTTTTTCTTCCAGCAACGGCGACAATTTTTTTTATTCGACAATGATAATTAATCCGATACAAAGCGAAGGAAAACTAGTCGGTTCTGTTACATCCAACAGCGATACTTAAATACACCGGAAGAAGTGTTCGTTACAGCTTATCGTGTTCTAAAACCAAACAAACCAATACACTTTTAGATGCAAGCATTTTTTGTGTTCATTGCATTCAATTTTTGCTATTTTTTTACTGATGGTATTGATTAAAATTAACTTGCGCCTTATTTTGATCAATTACGAGTCGTGTTTTGAGGAACTATTATGTAAAGACAATAATTGTGTCAAGCAAAGGTACATAAAAGAATTTCGAGTAACACAATGCGACTATTAACCTCAATACCGTAATCTGAAGTTATTGTTGAGAAATACATGTTGTTTTATGTGTGTTTTTTTTACACAACGTAATTACAAGTGTAGGTGCAGACATGAAGACGAGGCAACGTTGCAACTTGTAGTATCGTTTAGGTATACGTTATTTTTACACATGATTTTTTGAACGGTTACATACCGTGACGTTTAAGGCATCATTTGACGATTAATGACAAAGCAAATGTTGAGATTTCACTAACGCAATACGATCCTTTGAAATCAGGTCAATATTTCCTATTATTAAATTTGTTTCTGCACAAGCGGCGTTTCCTAACCCACAGATATTTAATGGAATTCTAAATTTGCCTCCGAAATATTTTTTTTCAAAACAATTTCGAGGTGGCGGAAATAGGGAACCTGTTTGTTTTCGTATTAAAAATAATTTGTTACGTAAGCAACTATAACTATCCGAATAACACGAATATTTAATTTTATAAACATATTCCAATCGAAAATAACCGGTGACGCTTAGAAAACGACAAAAAATTGGCAAAAACTGTTTGCTATTTTTCCTGAATTTATATAAAAACAAGTGTTCAGTATTCTTCCACTTAGTGGTGCAGAGATGTTTGTTATTACAATAAATTAAAAACTACTATTCGTTTAATCATACTCGGTAAAGGCTAGATGAAGCTATGAAGCGCCAAGAAACAGTCGTCCAAGTACCTACCGGAAACGAAAGTTTCCCTTGACCTAAAAAGTCCCATTTCGTTTTATACTCGACGTGTATTACCACACCGTCTATTCAGTACGCTGTAAATTATTAACTGGGTAATTGCCAATCACGACTCCAGCTATCTTCGGTGCGTCTCTGGTGTTGCGCAATTACCCTTATTGTACGGATTTACACGTGGGAATCTCTGGCCCTCTAAGGCCGCTCGATTATGAAACCGAAGATCGAACGGTAGGACAAAAGATTAACGTCTTCGCTAACTTTCTGTACGGTCTTTCGTAACGAAGTTGTTTGTTCTACTACCGTGCACGAAATACTAGTTTTAAACCGGCTCCAGATGATGCGGTCATTTGCCAACTACCGAATGCCGTATCGTGTGGATGGTGCGTGTCGAAAGCATTTATTTATTTAAAAAACAGTACGCGGGACCTAACATAATGCTTTTTTGTTTCAGTTGACAAAGAGCAGAATAACTATCTCCACCAACTCCTATCAAGACAAAGGACAGACTTACAACACCCTAGTTTGTGCGACTATGGTAGAAGAAAGTCCGTATACCCCACCACTACTGGTACGTTGCCTTCCAATAGTTCTCAACAAATTATTTATTAGAATATTAAGGATAGTCCGTATTATGTAGCGCATAAGCATGCGCAGTGGTGTAGGGGTCAGTGGAGCAGAGCTCAGCCCTAACAAATCCTGCCACCACGCCACTGACTTGTGTAAGAGTGAGAATTAAACATAACAAACATAAAACCGCGGATATTTATTTGATCGTTTTGATGGAATTCACGAAATCAGTTAAAAATAAAACTTGAAAAGTAGGAACTCTGTTCAGAAATGTAGTATTACGTATGGAAGATAAATCGGATACAATAATAAATATTTCCCTCGTTTTCCGCATAATTTTGTTGCGTAAATGAAGCTGAAATCACGCATAACAATTTTTGGAAATGATCTATAGGTTTATATAAATACAGCTCTATCTGTATTTTTTTCACAATTTTAGAAGATTGTCATAATCTGTGAGAATATTTTAATAAGTCGGAATCTTAAACAAATAGCATTGAGGAAGTTAAAAATAGCTTTTTGCGATTGACAGTCAACTATTTTTTATAAACATTTTTTATTACTTTATCATGTAATTTCGCTTTACTTTAAATATGTTAAGCTCATCTCTCTAAAAATTCAAAAAAATGTTCTTAAATACTCATCAAATTACTTCATTTGAAAGAACCTACTCTTGAAGTATTGCCCATAACTTCAATTGATGAGAATTTAGAAAAATTAACTTAAATTAATCTGTAGAGCATAGGCCAGGAAAAAGAGCTGGAAAAGAGACTTTTTGTTCCGGCAAGCTGAATTTGTCACTATAGATGCTAAATATTATGTACCATAACATATTAGTTTCTACAGTCATATAATAAGTTATAAACAAATTAACTAATTATTAGTCTGGACAATCCCGAGCATCTTCCACAATCGCATATTCATCATTAGTAAAATTTGGCATAATTCTTGTTAATTTACACCCAAAAAGTATTTAGCTGATAACAGTGGCAACTTACAGAAGAGTTAATTGTGACAACTGGCATGACAGCAGCACACTTAGTTTTTCTTTGATTGATTGCAATCATATACGGTATGAGGTGAATGGTAATACATTTTATTTTTTTATTAATAAACGAAAAGTTTTAAAGGAAAATTGCTAGAGAGGTAAAAGTTTCTAAAAGAACCAGTTTATCTAATGCGTATTTTTGGATATCGAGTATTTAGGGGTGGTTATTTCAACCCCTTTCGAGGGGTTAAAATTTTCGAAAAATAGTTGGAAACTCGCATCTGTATTAGTAAACAACCTGTAAAAAATTTGTTATTTGTACCTCGTTCTGTTTTCAAATTACAGCCAATTTTCATAATTTTTTTGGAAACTTTGATGGCCCATATCTCTTCAGGGGTGAACATTTTACTAAGGCGATTTTTTGCAGATGTAGATTCACTGGTATCATTTATGCTACTCAATTCAAAAACACCCTGTATAGTGATAATTTCAGCTTGGCGAAACAAAAAGTTCCCTCCAACTCTATATTTCCTGGCCTATAATAGCCTTTTTGGAGTTGAAATTTCAACAAAACAAAAACGATTCCGGATTTTGGAACATGAGCATTACGTTGACGCCTGTGTCAAATTTTGCATGATAAGGGCTTGGCGAATAATACTTGTAACGGCACAGAACTATTTTCCCACAGTGTAGGATACATTTATCTATTAAGGGTTGAAAACCGGACATCCCTGTACTGACCAGTGGCCAGCTAGCGAGATATCCTGCAGGTTACACATAAGTAAGTGGTCACTTAAACTAGTTCTTGGCCTACGTTTCATGTAATTTTTCCGATACACCGCCCTTTGTCATGTAATTTTTGGAGACGTGCCGTCCACGGAGGGTCTTTCAAAGGGATGTGCGCTTTTTTGAACAAAAATGATCCGCAGACTGGTTGCGGGTTAAGGAACTCCGAGCTATCACCGAGAAACCTACGCGGACGGCCAGGTAAAATTTCGAATTTCGTTCCGACGGTTACTTTTCTCGTTCTCTGGTCAAATACCGGGTTAAGGGTATTCAGATGTATGCCCGGGACAGCTGAAACGCCAAATCCGAGAGCCGTGTTGTTGCACATCGGGATTATGCAGTTTCGGTGTTTTCGAGGAAACCACCCCCACGGGACACGTGCGAAAAAGGGTTGCAAGGGGTTGCGTGGCGATTATTCAATTCGCTGAGCTAACACGGCCATCTGCCAACGCCTGGACTGTTGTCGCAGCGAAATATGCGACATGGGGGTGGGTTGTGTCAATGGAGATAGATTGGGATGGAAATTCGATAGTATTTGTTCGGTTGTGCAAAGAAAGCGCGGGCGGATTTATAAATTTGGAACTTACAGGGAAGGCTTGCAGAAGGTAAACAACGTACGGGGTGTCAAAGAAAAAAAGTACCGCAAACTCATCATTATTAAGAAATATTTGAAGCATACTTTTAATTTCACTACATAATGCAACTTCAGGAGTTCCCCACGGTTCAAACCTTGGACCTCTAATATCACCTCCTTTTATTAACGACATTTCTTCAGTAGCAGATTGTAATAAACTGTTATTAGTTAATTACATGAACATCTTTACTTCTATTTCTTTCATAGATGAAGACTTAATGTTACAAAGTCATTGGACAATTTACATACTTGGTGTTCTACACATAAATTGCTCCTTAACGTATCCAAAGGTAAAATTATTTCTTATACCTACAAGGAAAGATTATCCGTTCTTTTCAATCAATTATGTTATTACTAACACTGTACTTTCCCGCCATGAAACTGTTAAACGTCTTGGTGTACTTGTCGATTGTGATTGATTTTGATTAGGCAGTCCACAAATAGACATTCACTAATTAAGTACATCGCCACATTTGTTTTGATTTACAATAGTTATCAACACATATTTCGTTCCGTTACATCCAGTGTATTGTAGATACACGTGTAGCCATTTCAGTTGGCGACAAATTCCCTAGCAGTGCAGTGCAGCTATGCGGAATTTGGTGTGATTCAGGTAATTTTAATTTATTACAAGCACCTTCTATTAATTACATATTAACAAAAGTTTCAATGTCTACAATTTTTCGTGTTATTAAACAAGGTGTTTATAGATCATTGCGTAAAGAGGAAGCGAAAACAAAAATTTAAAATATCGATGACATGACGAGAGGCGTAATTAGGCGGACAATTTATAATTTATGTAAACAAAATTGTGGAAATAACTAAATAAAATATGTTGTTGGCCAAATGAAATTTTAGGTAGAAATTTTCTTCATATTATATACAAAATTTTTTTATGTTTTACCTTTAGCAGAAAACTTTTTTAGGGACGCCTATGAATCTCATTAAATTTTATTGCTAGGCGTTTTTATACATGTTCAACTGACTTCGGAAAGACAAGACTGCCAATTGCTACTACTGGCCCTTATTGGGACTGCCTGACAAATGATGAAGATCCCTGGTTTTGGACTACACTTTAATATTATTTTGGGGAATTCTGATGCAGCATGACTATATTTAATGCTCGTATAGAATTTTACTTTTACGGAAACGACTCTAAAGTAAAACCAAAGCGAATTAGGTACAGCTTGATCACGGGCAGATAATTAATGCGGAAAAGGCGCCAATTAATAAACTTCCAAGTAGTTTTCATCGACTGGCATCCAAACCGAGTTACAAGCGTTAATATTTACCAGCGTCAGCGGCTGAAAAAAAAAATATCAACCTAGGGAATCTTCGCACCAACTGTCGCCTTACACACGGAACCTGCCGTACGCCGTTTGACCCAGTTTTTTATACGTACCGAATCTGAACATCTCCGGCCCGTAGCATTATAATAGTTGTTGGCTTGTATAATGGCTTAACGCGTTAGAAGGGCGCCCAGGTAAGAATCTGCGAGATATTAGTCATAACAATGCAATTACAAGTAGCCCGACAAAAGATCCGGCACCTGATTAGGGTTGAGATGGACCACTGCGACCAAAACAATGTAACAGATACCCTTCCGGGTAGTTGAATGGCAAAGTCAGATTATCGGTTTAAAGGATTTAAGTGCGAGATAACGGAGGGACAAAACGGATGGAGCTGTTTTATTTGGAGGTGTGAAAATGAAAATGGGATGTCCTGGGGTCGTATGGCCTGGATTTATCCAAAAACGCATGTGAAACGTAAGGACCAAAGGTGTGGAAAATTATCTACATTACAATTGACCGATGTTGGCACTGCTTCACTATAAACATAATAAAAGTTCGTAATTTAACACTTCCAATAAAGTTAGCGACGTTGACATTATTTTTTATAAGTATTTTATGTTTATACAATTTACTAGCTGACCCGGCAAACGTTGTGTTGCCATCTTGTGGAACTGTGGATGGAACAAAATAATATAAAAATCGCGATTAAAAATCAGGGGTTGATCGTATAAGGGTGAAAATTTAGAACTGTATGTATTTTTCAATGCTGAATCATGAAAAAATAAAAACAGAAAATTTTGTCCAAAAAATAAAAAAAAAATTTGGGGTGGACCACCCTTAACATTTAGGGGTATGAAAAATAGATGTTGGCCGATTCTCAGACCTACTCAATATGCTCACAAAATTTCATGAGAATCGGTCAAGCCGTTTCGGAGGAGTACGGGAACGAACATTGTGACACGAGAATTTTATTCTTATAGAAACGACTCTTATCAACGAGTTTTTGGTCAATTCAGTTATTGGGTAACAGTTATTCCAAGTGACCAAACATGTGTGTTGTAAAGTGTTTAAATAGGTCATTTTAAACACTTGTCAGACTGATGTAAACAATAAACCACTATAATAAGAGCACTATCAAAACCACAGTAACAGAGAATAAAAATACATTTGTCAGCTCAAATCGTCATACATTTTAATAAACATTTTGCGGTCGAGCAGCTATATTTTAAATATAACATTTCTTTCTCGAAATCTGTAAATATTTTATTACAAAATTAGTAGATTTTTGTTTTTTTTTTGCA